AGACATATTTCCTGATATCTTTAGCACAGTCAGAAAACTAAATGCCCTCTCAGTTGACCGGAATTATCTTCAGTTCAAGTCGGACGGTTCAATAGTCCTCCTTAAACAACCATGCTTCATTGAAAAGAATCTGTTGCTGTCCACAAGTAACAAATGAATTGTCATTCATCCTCTTTCTTCCATAGAAAAGTCGAGAGCAGCATCCATGCAAGATCTGTCTGTACCCTCATGCGCTGCTTGAGATGCATAGAGACAAGTTGTGGTTGTCACAAATGTCTCTTCCTTCCAGTCAAGGCCAGTAAAGAAGATGTCACCCCTCAAGGCTTTTCATTTATGTCTGAAATAGTTTATATGTTCAGCATACTCTGAGATCTCTCAAGATCAGAGCTGCCTCAGGTGTACAGCTCATGAGATTAGAGCCATTTCTGCGATAGTAAGAGATATAAAACATAATGGCAAATCAAACAATTGCAGCTTGAATATTGTGAAGCATGCACATTATCAGTGGTTAGCCTAACGAGATGCAAGCTTGGTTTCAAATTAGATGAGTTGAACATGACATGAAATTTTTTAACTTGGAAAACTAAAATGCTACATGAATTTTATGCTTTTGTAAGCAAAAATATGTGAAGAACCTTGTCTCGTATATAATGGTTTTTATGCAATATTTTGTCATATTTTTGATGACATTTTTCATATTAATAGTTTTTTTTAAAAAAAATATTGGCTCCTTTGCTTTAAAAATCCATACATGCAAAATAATAACAAAATGATATTGCTTTTCAGTAGAAATTGTGATGAATTTCAGTTTACTTCCTTCATTTGGTGTCCCCAGCATGCAGATAAAGATTAATATCTGACTTAAATCTTAGGAACGTATTACACCAGAAACTTCTTTGTGAGTACCAGATCTGAACCTGGTTTTGGGATTCAGTTTTATGTGGCTACATGATTGTATTTACCTTCAAAGAGTCTTATATATTTGGTTTGTGACATCCTTCTTTACGTATTTTCTCACATGTTGCAAGAATAGTTTACTAATCTGAAATGAAAGTGTCTCCTATCAAATAATCTTTGGGTTTTCTTATTACTTATGCTATTTTTTCACACTAATATGACTAGTGTATAACCCTAGTTTCAAAGTATAACTGTTGTATCTTGTCTGTTCTGTTAGAATACTCAGCATTGTTTATGTTATTTCTTTACATCGAGATGGGTTAGTAAAACCTGACAGAATGGCCAGGTCAACTCTTGGCCGTAAAGGTGAAAGAAATTTCTCAAATTTATAATAATGGAACTTTATGTAGTCTTGTATGTCAGTCTAACACAGAAGTGATTTTATTTTTGACTATCTCAATTTTTATGAGAAATCATTGAGTGGTGCAGTCCCATAATGTGATGTGTTCAATGCATATATATGGTCTCGTGTCAGCTTATGTTGATGAGTTAAATCAGTCAAAATGAATCCAGTATATGCTTTATCTAGTTTAACCATATAGTTTCATTGTTTGCAAATGCAGTTACTTTGCAAATATCCTATAATAATTCTATATCCTAAAATTTATTGCTAGAAAAGTTAATGCAAATAGAAAAAATGAGGTCATTTAGGTTTCATTCGGTTTGATGAAAAATGTAGGATTAAATAATCCATTGCTAATAGTTACATATACACATAGATTGAGTCAATTACTAATATTAATTAATGGTATGGTACACTTAACAAAGTAGATAGCACACAATGTAGTTAAAGGAAGCTAACATTTCTACTATTGTCATGTGATGGGGAACATTGTTATGAAAATATTGAAGTGCATTTTTTTTTATAAATGGACCCAGATTCATAAAATTTACGCAGATTTTATTGTATAAGCAGTGTGAATATTATATGTAATATGATAACTTATTTTAACAACATCTAAAAGTGTAAAACAAACAAAAGTCAAGCGAAATTACAAATGCTGCAGTTCTGTTGTAAGGTTATTTTTTTTACTATTTTATTGTTGGGTGATTATAAATTAGGTTGCAGTAAATATGATTATAACTGATGTTTTGATAAGTTTTTTGTAATATCCATTGTCTGTTTCTGCTTGCTTTTTTAAATTGTGAATTTGTATTTATTCTTCTTAGCTCAAAGTTCAAATTGATGTGTGAAAGTATCAGTTTTCATTATTTTGATGTTTGAAAAAGGATAATTCTCAGGGTGTAAGGTGGTTGATCTACTTAAGAATGGTTGACTAAATATAAATATGATAGTATGCAAAAAATGGATCAGAATAATTGAGGTATTTCTTAAAAACATATGTGCAAATGCAAATATTTGAAAATTTGTTGTTCGTAACATTTTCCTCATATTTGTATATCAGCAGATTTTTTTTAATATGCTATTATATGTATGTCATTACTTTAAATCATTCCAGTCTTGTTTTTTTGTTTTTTATATTGTAATTGAAGTGTGTATTAAAATCTTAAAGATCACATTATGGAGTAATTTGGTTTGGTTTGATGTGTTATGGTGCAGGAAGACCCAGGTGTTATTTTGTGTTGAGACAATTGGAGTTAACTGGTTCGATGTGTTAGGGTGCAGCAAGACCAAGGTGTTATTTTATGTTGAGACCATTGGAGTAAACTGGGTTGCTGAAAGATGCACCATGCTAGCCAATCCTGACTGATCTGATTGTAGGATTACAACATGTATCCTTTTATTTGCAAATCGGACATAGAAACAATTCAGCCACCATGGTTTCTTTTGTGAAGGGCATTGTACTCTATACAGTCTTTTAAATAATTTAGTTTTTATTTTCTAGGCAACATCGTAATTTAGGCAACATTTGGAACAAAATTTCATCCATTTATAAAGATTTCATCATAATTTTTTTCAGTATATATTCTCCATTGTAATGACATCTCTAACCTTAGATAATTCAGAAATTTGTTGACTGTTTATTTGACAGAGATATATTTGTCTGATGTTCAGATTATATTCATTTTTCAGTAGAATTTGGAATACATGCATTCATTCTCTTAATTATTTCTTACTGGTATAGTGTTTTCAAGCTCATGTGATAAAGCACATATAACATTGTGTCACACACTGTGCAATGCAAGCTTTATTTATTGACAATATTGTAGTATCAAATATAATGTACGTGTAAATATAAATATATTAGATGTCTTATCATCCTACTAAATTTGTAAAGAATAATACGCTCTGTCAGAGTTTATAATATGTTTGAATATTTGAATACAAGTACTACTTCCGATATTTTTTTGTATTCCATGTAATTGTGGTAATTATGTTCTTTTGTAGTTCATTTATTCACTATTGCTTTTCCTTTTCTTTATAAAACTCTGAATTATATGCTTTGTTATTGTTGAATGGATAGTTTCATATTGTTTTCAGATTGTTTGTAAATGCAGTTACTTTGCAAATATCCTATAGTAATTCTATATCCTATAATTTATTATTAGAAAAGCTAATGCAAAAAGAAAAAAAATGAGGTCATTTAGGTTTCATTAGGTTTGATGGAAAATGTAGGATTAAATAATCCTTTGCTAATAGTTACATATACACATAGATTTAGTCAATTACTAATATTAATTAATGGTATGGTGCTATTCATTCTGATAGAAAATCATAATTGTTTATCACAAGAATCAGATAATTATATTTTCTTACAGACTAATTATATCACTTTAGAAAAAATAGGATCCCAGTATATTTGCATTTGTGTTTAACTGTATATTTCAAAACAATTTGGTATGTCCAAACTACTCTTTATAAAATTAACATTTGTGATCTAGGAATTCAAAATTCGCAAAACTTTATTATGGATGATTGCTTCAAAACGTGTTTATCTTTGAGACATTAATTATAATAAATATAATGATCAACATCAGCATTATAATTAAATTGACTTTCAAAGGCAAGGTATATTAAATAATCATTAAGTGAATAAAGATACAACTTTATTGTTTTTCCAAGATTTTGTGAAAATACAGAATATATTGTATATAATGGTCTCCATGATATTTTGACACAGGCTGTAAGAAACTACTAAGTGCCATGATTTGCAACTGTATTCTGTTATTAACTTCATAACATTCATTTAACTGTAATCTTTGGTTGTTTCATATAATATTTACATGTATGTTGAATAAATTGTTTTATAAGTTGTTTCTGTGGTATTTTTGATTCCTATAAGCAAATCTGTTGTTTAAAAATTTGAACATCTCATGAGTAACTTTAACTTACTGAATGAATCTAACCATATGCACTAAACCCTGCATAACGGATTATCAACAATAGAGACTAAACTAAAGCTAGAAGGAGCCCATAATATCATTTAAAGTGAAAATTACATCAGTAAAAGGTAAAACCTACGCCTTCAAGAACCATCATTATCATTTTTCCCCAACTTGGTAGCATGCGCTTCCTCCAGCTCCATCATCATAAAGTTTCCAGCATTGTTTATCCTTAAGCATTGTCGTTATTCCACCATTATGGGATCTCTCCCCCCCACCAGTTTACCATGAATTGTCATTTTTCTGTCGGCTGATATTTTGGGGTCCCTCAGAAACTGGTTTGTCAATTTCTATTTCTTAATACTTGGTGCTGATTCTGGCATTGGTTTACCCCACAATATTAGTGATTTTGTATGCAGGGTAAGCAGCCTTTTATATGGCAAGCTGTGTTTAATGAAAATCCAGTCCAGAATCATGGAATGTTTGTTTTGTTATTATTTCTTTGGAAGTTCACTAGCACAGGTTTTTATGCACCTGAGCCCTCAGCTATTGCAAGGCATTACTGTTATCCATATTTTAGCTCTACTGATTAGACCAAACAAGCTTAACGTGACGGGATGCTGTCCACTCCTCATCCGTCCATTAGCACAACTTTGTATTTGCTACTCTCTAACTATTCTGAGAACTGCCATCAAACTTTCTACACTCGTTTATCCCAATGTCAAATTTCTCCTTACTATCAATATTACTACTCAACCGCTCCGGTGGCCTAATGGTTAGAGCGCCCGTCTCGAATGCGGGAGGTCGTGGGTTCGATCCCCGGTCGAGTCATACCAAAGAGTTACAAAAATGGTACCAACATCTGCCTCGCTTGGCGCTCAGCATTAATATGTTAGTGTTAGGACTGGTCGGCCTGGTGTCGGGATAATGTGACTGGGTGAGACATCATGCTATATGTCTGCGGCGTGATGTTCCAGTGTTAAACATCACTATAAACTGCCACACTGCAGACATCATAACGATATGACTGAAAAATTGTTTAAGCTACGTTAAAAATCAACATCAACATCACAAAAATATTACTGTTCAGACATCTTGAATTATATCTATAGATGGTTCTAAATGACAATGTTGCCATTCTGATACATACTATTGCTATACAACTTTAGCTACGGTTTAACACAACAGGCAATTTTTAATATTAGATTGCTTAAGTTGTTATTTGACTCCTTACTAGTTTTACCTATATAGACTGTAATTTGGCCTTTATAGACTGTAATTTGGCCTTTCCTACTGGCAACATAGTATTACAATTGCTATTATATCGCCACTAAGTGTCAATAATAACGTGTCGGTGCATTTTTATGTGCGCGTATGGTGTGTACTATATAACACTCAATTATATTGCTGTATAGTTTCAACTGCAGTCGGTTAAGTTTTCTATGCATAGTTCAGTCGTAGCGTCCTCTTCATTGTTACTGTTAACGGCGCTTCAATGGTTTTACTTATATATGCAGTCGATTGGCCTTTGATGAAGTATTTTTTTTAATTAGAATTGATATTTTAGCGACCACATTGTAAATATTAATAGTGACATTTCAATACTCTAGCTGTACGTAGATTCGGCAGTTCATAGAGCATAACGCGTGTGGCACTACACACACACACACACACACACACACACACACACACACACACACACATTTTGCACAATTTGGTCTTGCAAAGTTAGATCATGGACAAAACTCGATTGACAACTACTATACACGAGTAGCTTATTCCAGTTGTCAATCTACAAATACAATCAGCCTTGCAGGTAATGGACAGAAGTCAATGGGCGACAGTACTGAGGTTACTAACGGGACAAGACGCAGAAGCACAAGGCTTCCACACCATATCACTTAATGGCAAGCAAGATATCGAGCAAAAAGTCTTTGAGGCGGGACCATAAAATTTTTATCGTAAAACGTTACAACTACAATTGATCATGCAGTATCATCCACCAGAAGAACGAGTTTTGTACAGTTTCACAAACCCAGGTTATACAGGCACTCTCAGTGACCAGTCTTACCAGCATATTACCGATATGTACTCCATGCGTAAGATGCCCAGCTTAGTGCCTCAGTGTCCAAGAAATGTCTCTTAACTTTGTTCTCAAGCCTTTGCCACTCGTAGGGCGCATGTACTTAGTGACAGCATGGAATTTATGCAAATCGGCGATCGACCATCCTAGACAATTCTTCTCCAACTGCTTCGCAGGTAACACAAAAGACATCGGTTTTAACACCTTTATCCAAAGATCACGAAACTTGTTCACAAGTCGCTTCGTTAATAGCTATGCCTAGATACGCGAAGATTCAGCCTTACAGGCATCAACTGAAGAAGTTTTCCGCCTACTGAAAACAGAGTTCTGTGCTCCCTCCACAACAACTGACTGGTCTATGTTCCGGCATCAATTCATTAAAGGATAAAACGGAAGAATCTACTTGCAAGACCTAAGCATCAATCAACTCTTTTTCCCAAAAGAGCCTTCCCTCGATTTGTCGGCGGTTTTACAAGTCCCGCACACCAGTTTTCGATTTGAATACATCATTAGTCGACCGAGATGGCTCAGCTATGGAAATAACAAAGCCATCCTATGTACACATGGATTGGAAGTCTTTAAACGACATATATCAGTTGGTGCTTAATATCATGGCCTTGGGCATTGATTTGGATTTTGTATCCATGACTATCTTTGAACAGGCAAAACACAGTGTATCAAACCCCACTCCGAATTCCCACAGGACATGAGTGAGAGTCTGTTTCCAGAATGGCCACTGTCTTACACAGAGCTACCCAACAGACTCCGGTCTATGCCGTAACAGCAGCTACAAAACTTACGACTGGATGAACGAAATGCAATGTACATCTTCCTTTCTTATGACTATCATAAAGCCAAGCTACGCTTGCAACATTTATCATCTAATCTCATCTTTAATAGGCGGAGGAAAATACGCATACAATCCACTAAGGAGACCAATTTCTTTACCTCACAGTCTCAGCTAAAGAGGTATTTTCTTGCAATCAATAAATAAACGTAGGGACACCTCCATGGACACAAGCCACTAGGAAACAGTCTTATTGAATCTACAGCCACCGAAAACCACAATTATCAATTGCTCAGTTACAAACGAGGAACTGCCTCAACATAAGCACACTCAATCAATTCATTCTGGCCCTATTTGTTCACGATGATAGAGACTACACAATCTGTGGGTGCTTGGAATATGTGTATCGTCACGTCCCCATTCACACGGCTTCCAGGAAGTTTACGTGTTTCACCTACATAGACACCGTTGCCATTTAAGGGTACCCAACTTGACACCTGGCATCAGTCTCTAGGGTTTCACTCGATTGATTGACCAAGGAATGGCTCATGTCCTGACCAACTCCATGGCAGAAATATCAACTACCTAGACTACATCCTATATAAACATCAGGCGAGTTATATCTTGGTGGAAAATGTGATATCCATTGTTACTCACCTTCTTAACCACGATTTCATCGATAAGAATATATCTGACCACGTAGGATATCAACATTTTGTTCATCTATGTATGGAGGTTACCACTCAGTACTGACAGCATGTCTCCCCGAGAAACAAACATTAAAGGCGCACTGACGATCTTCTCCACAAGAATTCCTTCACTTGCCTCTTTATGCGCACTATACAATTATTCTGTTGTCCAAATGGAGACCAGCAGTTTTCCATGTGACCAACTTCTCATAATCTGCACAAATATGAAGTTCCATCTCGGAAGATGGGGAAACCTCACTGGAATTATGTCGGGTATACCTCTCCAGTGCATTCTCCGGAAATCACAATCTGTGCAAAAGCAAGCACATAAAACTTTGATGTACGCCTCCTCCCGTCATTCCTGGAAACCAATGGTGTGTGTCGCCATTAGAATTATTATTCAAATATCAATATTCTCAAGACAAAACTAATTTCGAAACCTTTTCACTGATGACAGGATGATTTAAATGGAGTTCTAATTCTGTTAGACAGTTCCACTATCTCAATTGACAAGACGGTACCAAGTCTCCTGACCTTTGTGTTCTTGTTTGGTTTTTCTAAAGTTGCGTCTTGAATGACAAATCTACATCCATGTTCGTCATATTCCAAACCATCTAGTTGCATTTGGAGACTCTTTGTCTCTGAAGAATCGACTGAAAAAATGGTCTCTTCATGCCCAGGCTTTCAATCAAAATATGAACCCGAATAGAGCGACCAATGATGAACCAATCAGTAACATGGTGGAATGTCAAAATCACAACATTTGTCTCACCAGTTCCGGATCCGAAGGCTTGGACTGCTGACAGAACGACCTGGATGCATACGCTTACCATCCAACACCTCTGATTCCGAAGGTGATACAGAAATCTGGAAACTGAGAGTCTCCATATCCTGATTGCTCCACTCAGATTGTAAAATTCGTAGATCAAAGACCTCATCAACCTCAACAGAAATCCACAGAAAATAGGGATAGTCCCTCATGTGCTCAAGAATCCATGTTTTATTCACACAGGCATCACACAATTAGACAAACATTAAAGTACTCAATATTAGTAGCCTTGGTTACATAAATCAAAATAGAATTATTTTTTTTTACAAAACCACCGGCTGAAAGGCGAACCTTTGAATGCAAAACAAATAATAGGTGTATAAATTTAATAACCGTAACAGATCCTCATGGGTAGAATATCTGTTAACATGTTGTCAATAATACGAAATTCACGTATTAAATCGTCCATACTATATATTTTACTCCTCGTAGGTAAGATCTTATTTGATCAAGTAGTTTTTTGTAAGTTATAATTGATGTAAGCAGCCGTGCTTTTTTTATCAAAATTTTAGGTTCAACTTTTTTACAAGCTGCTGTAAGAGAAACACCAACACCGGATATGATTAACAAAAACGGGTTTAATGATATACCACTTGAAATTATGCCAGAACTAGTCATTAACAAGGGTAGATATGATATTACTCGAAGTATTTTGTTATAATATTTGTAACATTTTTTAACGCACCAAAGTTTTTTTTGATAAGATTTGTAGTATTGTATTAGTGCGTCAACATCCTGTTCTGGAATATCTTTTGAAATATGATTGAAATCAACTATACTTTTTTTCATTATAATATTTGTTCACATAATCTCAGGCTTGATCAAGTAACTAGTTGAGGTGTTTCAGCCACAAATTCCAGACAATACCAATATGACGCAGCAGTTAATTTTTTGTCATCTGCTATTAGCATAAAAGTTTCTTCAACATCTTTGTTCAACACAATAGACACGGTTCCAGAGAAATTATCAGTCGAGTGACGCCATGGAATAATGTAAATATATTAAACTTTGCACTGCTCAACACGGACAATCTATACACACCAGTGACCTCTGCAGTATGTTTGAGAGTGTTATTTTGCGGAGACCAAGTAGACATTCCAGAAGCAACAGTATAGACAATATTTTTAATCTGCTTGTGAGGAATTTTAATCATACTCGTTTTCTCAACAATACTAGGAATTCCACTAATAATATCGTTGAGTTTTGTGTTAATATTATCGAGTGTAATATCAACAGATGGCGGACTTCCAAAAAATTCGTTATTGTTTTGTTTATGTTTCTGCGAAAATTTAAAAACGTGGTGATGTGATTAGTAAAATCAGTTTTGAACTTGGTGATTTCATTGTTGATATCATCAACATATTTCTTTGTTACAGCATCAAAATCAGATTCTGGTGTTCTAAGATTATTGATGCCATTATTGTTCATGTTGAGAAATGCACG